GGTAACATGACTGCCAAGACATTTACACATAAGTTCATCAAACACTTATTTCACACTTTTTCTGTCAGCTGCTTAGGATATTACAGTGAGAAAAACAGACAGAGTTTCTGCCCTTAAGGAGCTCACATATCTAACAGGGGAGCAAGACATTAATCAAGTAATCACACAAATAGCCATTTGTATTATTTTCCTATTGCTGTTGTAACAAATTACCACTAATTTAGTGGCTTACAGCGACACCCAGGTATTATCTTACAGTTCTGTGTAAAAATCTGACATGGGTCTCACTGGGCTAAAATCAAGGTGTCAATAGAGCTGCATTCCTTTTCAGAGGTTCTAGGTAAGATTCTTCTCCTTACCCTTTCCAGTTTCTAGAGGCCACCCATATTCTTCTTCCATCTTCAAAGCCAGCAGCATTGCGTCTCTCTGAACCTTTCATTCCTTGTCTGCCTGTGACTCTCTCTCTGCTTCCCTCTTCCACTTTTAAGCACTCTTGTGCTTACATTGGGCCCACCTGTATAACCCAGGAGACTCTCCCCATCTCAAGGTCAGTTGATTAGTAACCTTAATTCCTGCAACCTTAATTCTCCATTGCCATGTAACTTAACACATTCACAGGTGCTGGGGATTAGGACGTGGACATCCTTGAGGGACCATTATTCTACTTGCCACACTGCTTGATTACAAATTGTGCATTACAGAAGCCATTGGCTTAAATAGGGCTATGACCTGTGCACAAGTACAGAAGCATGGCATTTCTTGGACCTATCCTGAGTTTTGTTCTTTGTTGTCTACATTTGTTTGTGTTTTCTGTTTCCTCTGAAGTGCCCTCCTCCTCAGTCTCTACATGTCAATATTCTAGCTGTCTTTTAGGCCTTGCTCAAATGGTACCTAGACTTTATCAGGTGGAAGAATGAAAAATAAACTTTGTTCAGAATACTTCTTTTACTTTTAGGATTCTCTATTGGTGCCTAGTTGAACTTGTGAGGAAGCCACTGCATTAAAAATGAGTTATGATATCTTAAAACATATTTTAAACTATTCACATTGTATTTTTCAGACACTTCAGTTTGGAGCACAGAAGGAAATGAAAGGTGAAAGCCAAACCCTCTAGGCACCACTGAAGAGGGACAGAAGAATGTGCCTTGAAAACACTAAGGGGGAGTATTTTCTTTCTTTAAGGCCTTGCTCAAAGTAAAAGCAGATAAGTGAGAGCTGCTAATCAAAATAACAAAATAACAAAATAACAATGTACTCTAAATGGATTGCAAAAGGCTGGTGTTAAATTGTAGTTCTAGGAAGAGTTGCAAGCTTGTTCCATGGTAAAAGCATAGAATCAGATACAAGCTTTTGAAACCTGCTTTTTCCAATTAGTCGTGTGACACTGGGAGAATAATTTTTTAAAACCCATTTGCTCATGTGTAAAATAGGAATTACAAAAGTGACTGACTAGTCATACTGCCTGACACATAATAGGTGTTCGAGAAATCTTTATTGCAGTGTGAGAGAAGATTCAGGGAGGTGAAGTAACTTGTCTAAGTGTATACAGATAGAAACAGGCCCCCAAATTCTAGCATATTAAATCATTTTGCTGGGTTTTTTTTTGTTATTTGGAAATTATTTAAACTATTCATGGTCCTTGTGGCACATCTTTGTAACTCAAGAAGTCACTTCTATCCTGACAGAAATCACTACACTAACACAGTTTTCTGTTTGTTTCCTTGTGAGTACAGCAGCATTTCATTTGAAATAGAGGATTTTGTAGTATGTGGTACATCAACCTGCTTCATCTGAGGAAGGCTGAATTATTCTAATCTTGGCCCTGAAGGAAACTGAGATCCAGAAAATGGGACAGTGCTTCTAGACCTAGTAGTCTAAACTGTGCTGGGTGTGGTGAAAGAATCTTTAAAACAAATTAAATATCCCTTTGAAACAAAATCCTGGAGCCAATGCCCTGGATACCAAATTAAAGGCTTAGGGAATATATCAGGGGTCTTCCCATTTTACAGTTGTCACACAGGAATTTCTTTCCCCTTCATTTTGGTTCACATGCTCCACTTCCCACAAACAGTTCTCATTTTAAAGCTTACTTCAGTACCAATTATTCTGAACATTTGCTTAATGTGGTCCGGCAGATTGAAAAAATGAATTGGAATACACGAGTAATTGGGGGCATCTGAAGGGAGTGGAATAAGTAGAACAAAACTACAAGTCCAATGGGTGCCCTTGGACTTCTCTCCACTCTGGGCCTATTTTTTTTTCCTGATTGTAAAGGGAGAGGGCTGGGCTACAGGGTCTCTAAGACCCCTACCACCTCTAGCATTCTGATTCTATAAGCTTCCCTCCCACACTAAGGTATTACAATATAAAGGGGAGTGTGGGGGTAGGGTGCGGAAGATAGTTTGGAGAAGGGGAAAAAATTGCAGGCTGGCGCGTTGTCATCTGAGCTTAGCACATCTTGAATGTGCAAGATGTGGATGTGGGAAGAGAGAGTGGGAAAAAGTGCTAATAGAATAAAATGTTTACTTTGCTAAGGATAGGGTCCAAGCAAGCTTGCATCATTAAAACCTTTGAAGCCCAAACTCCATGCTGTATTGTTGAAAACCTACCAAGAGCTAGGAATTAAGGAACAAGAAGACCTCAGATGATTATATTCTTTTCTCTTGTTTGGTTTTGTTTTCCTTGAAATGTATTCAGCAGGGTAGACACAGGCTTCTACCTGCTTTGCTAGTGGCATGTGGGGACAAGCAGCTACAGAAAAAAAGGATTACTATTTCACTCTTTTCTTCTATTAGTTTTCATAGTTTTTGTCGCAAGATTTGCAAGTTTTTGTTCCAAGATATAAAACCTGCCGCTCAAAAAGTATGCCATGTGTTGTTACAGGACTCAACATAAACAAATATAAACTCCTCACTATAAACTTCATCCAGACCAATTTAAATATTGGCCTAATTTGGGCTTCAGTTATGAACAATACAATGGGAAGTTACTAATTATTTGCTTAAAAGCTGACCTTACAAAAGGTGATTTGTATTTACCTTGATGTTTTGTCATGTGTATAATCCAATCAAGCAACAAAGATATAAGAATTAGATCCTTAAACATATTTTTTTTTTCATTTTCTGTAGATTTCCAGAGGCAGTAAGAGACAGCTCTGGGAGTGCCTCTGGGCAAAAGATAAAGGAGGTTACAGCTTGTGGAAGTGGTAATTAGAGCCAATTACAACTTGACTTATCTGCTTTGTCATTAAAATGCCTGTCAGACCTCTCATTTTTCTAAACAGAGGAAAAGAAAAGGTATAGCTTAGTGGGGGGAGAAGGTTGGCCAAAGGGAAGGGATTTCTAATTCTGTTCACAAACTTACCATGTAACCTTAGACAAACACATTGCCTTTTGGCTTCGAACTGTGCTTTTCTCACAGTTAAAACCTAACTATTGAAGCTAAAAGGGACCTCAGGAAATCACCTGGTCCAGTCTCCTGACATCAAGAAATTAAGGTATTACTATAGTCCCATTTTCCAAATGAGACATGAAAGACCTGGATAATTCAAGTAACTAGAATATGCTTTCTGCCTCCTAACTGCAATGGATTTGATTTTGGTCTCCCTTTTAGCTTAACTGTCATGAGGATAATGTAATTATTCTCTTCACTTTTCTCACAGACGTTGTATACATGTTAATACATAATAACCACAAGGCACTTTGAAAACACCAAAGGAAGCCTATAAATATAACATTAACAGACACTAGCACTTGGAATAGATGGGTCTCAAGGAAAAGTAACAGGAGTGGATTTAGCCCTTTGAAGAATTAGCTTGAGGAAAGAAACAGAATTACACTCAGTTAAAATGACCACTTACTTTCTGCAAATATGTATGTGTATAATTAGGAGTAACAACAAATAGAGAAAGAACAGGAATGCCATTAATGGATTTATCATTAGGTTTGAGAATCAAAAGAGGTGAAATTTTCCATGTAAAACAAAAAGTCCTGAACACAGTGGGGTCCTTGGTAAAGGTTAAAAGGAAATTAACAAGTTTTTCTTACAATTTAAAAATCCTATACAACCTCTAACGATTTTTTGGCTTTTGTCCTTAAAATATCTGCAGTCTGGCCACTGAATACCTGGACTCGTTATCTATCGTCCTGTCTCCAATCTTTCTTCACCTTGCATTCTAAACCATTCAAATTACCCTTACCCAAATCACCATCTTTACCAGCTACTTTGAACACATCAGCCGTCTCACAAACCCTTGTTATCCTCTGTATTGAATTACTCATTCAGGATTTCAAGGCCCTCTATCAATCCATTCTAATCTAGTCTCTCTTTCTCAATCCTTCTCTACCTTTGTTCTTTTTCTTTCAATACTACACTTTCCCCTCATATACCTGAAACAAATTCCATCCTTGCATCTGATAAGTCATCTCTCTTCACCCTTCTTGAAAATCAACAGGTATTTGATGTGAGGGCTACATGGAAGGAGTCGAGTCTATTTAATAGGTAGAAGTCTCTTGGTATAATTAGCTAAAGGAGATAGGAGCCAAGTTCCCTCTTCTTTCCGTGCTTCTATCAGGGAGAAGCAAGGGCAGAATGGTCTGGAGCAGAATGTGGAACAGTGCAGCTGAGTAGAGACTGCTTGGAATATGCGCTAGTTCTGAGTATTCATTTCTTCAATTAAATTTTATCTTTAATAAAAACCTCAATTTCTATGCTCTTCCTTGGTGAAGTTGTGTAGTAGTGGTCACTGTCAGAGACAGATCCCTAGAGTGTGAGTGTGTGTGTGTGTGAGGGTGATAACCTTAGTTAGCCAAGTAGGCACAATGGTGTCAGGTTATTCCAGAGAGGGTGGCAGTATATATTGTAACTTTATGGCAGTACATACTCTGGGGAGTAAATCTCTTAAGCGTGGGTGGGAGGGGGCATTGTTATGAGATCCAACATGAGTGATGTGGGCAGACTCTGGTTGTTACCTGGCAAATATTGAGCTTAGAAACAGTATATATTTTGGATTTTAAATTTTTATTCAGCTCCATATAACAGCATATATAAAATGTAGCACACACAAAAAGCATTTCTGAAACTTGGTCACTCCTTTGGGATTGGCACAGATTACAGTTTTGAAAAAAAGAGCTTCAATTGTGAAAGAATTTTCATCTCTGAGGGTAGATTTGATTTGGAGATAGCCAAAAGTCACTTGAGAATAAGTCTGGTGAAATAAGGTAGAAGATAATCTGAACATAACTTTTTAGTGAGCTAAGGATGTAAAAGGATGACCTATCTTAGAGTAAGTGTCCATGAACCTCACAACATGCCACCCTCAAAAGAAACACTGGTTACTGGGATAAATAATTGTTTTTAAAGTTCTGTTTGGGGCACAGAAATATGTATCTGATTTTATAATACTAGAGGGGGAACGGGCATAGCTAAGGGAAGACTACAAAATATTCAGCTTCTTTGGAGGCCAGGTAATAAGGTTTTCCATCAACCTGCTATGGCTTCAGGATAGTAAGCAGCTTTTGTTATCAAGTGTGGATCAGCAGCTCTGCTTGACTTAAAATGAGTGATGCAGCTGTTGGGAAGCAGAAAGCGGTGCTGGATTACACAGACAACCAAAACTAACACAAACACACACAGGTTTCCTGGTACGTAAATTATTTTTGAGGTTAAAGATCTCCGTTTACAGAATTTAGTATATAACAGATTAAAAAACCAAATTTCTTGACCTCCTAATATTAAATAGCTAAATGTGCAAAAGAACCACCATTAAATAGGGCATCAAAAGCTATACATTTTCTATGAAATAATATATGCAGATTTTCAAAGCTGTGAAAATGCAATAAAGAGCACAACACATTTTGGTCACTTTATTAAATGATATTAAATAGTTTAAGTTTCAACTACTAAACAGCACTTTGAATGGTGAAAACACAGATAGTATTATTGTCATACTTGAATGCTTTTCTTTAAAAACACAATTCCAGTCCTTATATATATTACAAAACAGCCTTAAAGGAAGAAGTGACATCTTTTCTACAGTACTTAAGATACTCAATACAGAACTGAAAAGCAGTCTAACAGAAACAAAGGCAAGTCTTCACAGCTGTATGATTTCAGCAGCCAAAGCTGGATGATGGACCGAAACATTACTATACAACTGGGACAAAACATATACAATATCACAATACTAAGCAAAAACGCTTTACACCCAAAGAAATAAAACAGGTTACAAAATGTGGAGAATTTAGCAGGCAAAACTGTATTACAAGCAACATTTTAAATCGTCATTTTTTAAGCCATTGCAACTATTTAAAACATCTAAAACAAATATAAAAAATGAGCCTTTTTAGTATCTTATTGATGTGATTTTGTCTTTAAATATTTGTTAAAGCTTGATGTTATACTCAAAGTACATATTATGTAGCTAAAATGTCAAGTGAGAAGAGTGTATGCAAAGTGGTCCAAGTTTATTTCAAACTCTCTTATTCCAATTAATCCTTCTATGTATTATTCTTAATTCATAGTTTCATCCAAGGTGAAAAAGGTGTAGAAGTTTGCCTAAAATGTTCACATCTATGTCTTTGAACAAGTAATTAGACCATGTTGAAAGTTCCCAGGTCTAATAAATCAGGTTTAAAGTATTCTGGACTTGTAGAAATACCAACTGATAACAGTTGGCCAGAGTATGCGGTCTTCAAATATTTTTCTCATAAATCTTACCTTTTTCATTTCTCCTAAAGTAAGCACACATCTCCCCCTGGCCCTTGCCAATTTCATAAATTTGATTATATGGCTGTCATAATATCCAAATATATAGAATTTGTTAGTGATAATTTATCATGGGGAGGTGGGGGGTGGATCCAACAAAACTCACAAATTCTGTATCACAAACCTAGTGCTTTTGGATGTTTTACCACTAGTTCTTTTCAAGACAAAAATGGAAATCTCTTAATCATCCAAACATCTTAAAATAGTTTTAGCTAATGTTAAACTGATTCTAATCCAGTGATACCTAGAGCAAATCAATCCTCTACTCAGCTTTCTTTTTTTTGGGAATTCCTTAGGTGTTTCCAATACCTGTTACACCATCATCTCAAAAATGTCTTTGCCATGTTGAATTGACTCCCATAGTCAAACAACCTTTTTCATTAAGAAACTCAAGCAACCAAATTGTACATGAATAAACTTATAGGTCATTTTTACAGGCCTGGATTAAGAAAACAACATGTAATTTGATGCATTAATTTTGATCAGAAAATTGCCTCACAGACCTAAACTAAAAAAAAAAAAAATCAAACTTTGAGACATAATTTTAAAAAAACGTAGGGAAGTTGGGGAAAAGAACATGGTGATGAAGAAGAGCATAGAAGCCAGTGATCCTTATCTTTAAGAGGAATTAATTCACAATACTGAGTACCGGGAATTGTTAAAGCACATTCCTCATGTGAACTTAAAGTCAGCAATGGTTCTGCCATTTTGATGTTGTTTATAAAACAGGGTGCGAACCTAACAACCACAATGTCATCCTTAACTTAACCTCTTAAAATGCTAGAACTTGATTTTGTTAGATCACATCCCACTGCCAGCAACAGGATGAAGCACTAGCACTGGCACCAAGCAGTTAAGAGGTGTGCTTTATATTAGTGCCAGGAGAGAGAAAATTCATGTGTGGAAGATAATCCACAACCCTGAAATTTTACCAGTAATTATTTCAGCACATATAACTGAAAATAAAAAACGGCAGAAAGACTAAAGAAGAAAAAGGAATTCTCTTCTTAGGCTGTACTTAAGGCTGTTTATAAATGCTAAGATAACTGCAAGACTCCTCCAAATTTTAGAGCAGTAGTATTTAAGAATATTGCACACAATTCTGTGTCAAAGATAACCCTTAGTTTCTAACTTTCAGTCACAGACAGGATATAGCAGGAGCCCACTTTCAGACTTCAGTCAAAAGAAGATTAAAACCATTTCATTCACTTTAATCAAGAAATGGATTAAGTACAAAAGTATTTAGTAACTTGAGGAATCAACTCTAAGAACTCAGCTGTGTGTTTTTATACGTAAAGAATAAACATATAAATCTGTATTCTTTCTTAAATTTATCAATTTTATGACAATTTTATGGTCGCTAAAAGCAGGCATAAAAATTTAGAGAGGAAATCTGTGGAGTTGTTATTGTTATGGAAGAAAACTTGTTTTCACTGAAAACAATTTGAAATATCTTCTGTACTCAATGTGTGTAAGAAGATTCTAGGCAATATCACTGACAAATGTCAGGAAGAAATGGTATGCCTTATTAAAAAAATTAATATGGAAGATTGGCATTTAAGGGGACCAAACTATTTATACAGTTGAGTTCTGTTAAGTCATTGATTCCTAAAAAAATAAAAGATCTTTCTATGATTTTAACAATCCTTTAAGCTTTTAGTGCAAAATCACATTGATTTCCCTTGGGAAGGTCCTGGATTTTTGCTTCTCATTGGGGGTGGTGCACGCTGTAATGGAGGTGGCTGCATACCACCAGCCACTGACTGATACATTCCTCTCATATCAATTTGCTGGTAGTTAGAAGGATTCATGATTAAATTTGGAGGCTTTGGCATCATGAGGTGACCTATTGCTGCTTGTTGATAAGTCATTTGTTGCTGTTGCTGCTGATTGTACTGCTGCTGGAGCCTTCGGTTCATAAGTATTCGCTGAACACAGCTGATTAACTAAAGAGAGAAAAGGGAGCTGTTACAAGTGCATGACCTGTCTCAAAGAGGCAAGTATCAAGTTTTGAGTTAAAATCAATTTGTTAAGGGGGGACCATACCAAAAGGAAAACACATTATTGTTATCACCATTACTAATTTGATGGCATTCACAGGACCATTACTGTAGAAACCAGTTAGTAACACCATTTAGGGCTAAATTCTCTTAATGACTTGACTATTGTATTGCAAGCAGCATTTAGGCTAGTTGCCATAGTAACCTGTTCCCGCACTGTGATTAGTCTCAAGTATTAGTTACAGCACTTTTTGTCAAGTCTCCCTTCTTTGTCATTCTTTTGAATATTTCACATGATGACAGACAAATAAACATTTTTAGTGACAAACACCAAAGGGAAAAAGCACTTGCAGTGGGAATAATTCCTGTCTGGAATGTCTCAAATTTCCTAAGATAATTTAAAACCACATAATTCTACAGTGCTTTCTAAGTAAAATTCATGCCACAGAAATTGATTCCCTAGTGTCAAGAGTTGAAATTTCCCAGTGCAAGTAGATGGCTGGCAAATGACTGCTGGAAAAGATGATCAAGGGTCCTGGAATATGCAAGCCTTTTTTTTTTTTCAACAAAGTAACATTTTACTTTCAGTGTGATAAAATGTGCTAGTCTTTCAAAGAATAGCATAACTTAGGTCAATAATATTGCAATAACTGTATGATGCCAGGTCAGTACTAGACTTATGGGGAGGTGTGGGGGGAATCACCTCATAAATTATACAAATGTCTAACCACTAAGCTGTACACCTGAAACTAATGTAAAATAATATTGAATGTCAACTGTAATTGAAAAATAAAAATAAAATAACAATTTAGTAGAAACCTGTGTCATATATCAGCTATAGGCCACTCTTAACTCTCAAATTAAATATATTAAAAAGCATTCTTATTTTGGGAAGTTGTATAAAAATGGTAAGTGTGGTAAAAAGTCTAGCAGAAATTCCTTTTTAGATGTTCAGGATATATAAAAAATAAAATTATATGGAAGAGATTCTATATAAACTTCAAGGGGACCCATCTGGGAAGATACTGCTCTTTGTAACAAAAATTTACTTGACATTACTAGGTTTTTTGACAAAATTTCTTCCAGAAATAACCAATGACCATCCACCTGTTCCTATGAGGGATGGTTATTGACACAGGTCACACAATCCAGTATTACAAATTCAAGAAAATTAAACGCAACTGAGAGATAGTCAGAATTCTTACCATCTGTTGTTTTGTCAACACGTCATTGTAGATTGCTTCTCTTCGTTTAACATCAAGCTCCTGGCTGGCTTGTCTACTTAATGCTAACGCCTGTACTTGGGCCTCTGAGAGATTCATGTTTTCCTTCCACTAAAAGAAAAAGTTTCTATTTACTCCTTATTTCAGTAAAATAATTAAAGTACTTGAAGATATTCAGAATTTTTAAAGTTTTTTCCCCCTTTTTCTTTTATTCTTTTTTAAAGAAAACGATGTAAAAGCAGGGTATTGTGTTGTCCACTATTGTACAAGGGTTGGCTGTCTCTGGAATGAAACTATTTGGATTTAATCTGTGCAACTGGTAATTAAAATATGTTTATGTAAAACAATGCATACATTTCTATGATTGATTTCCCAATTTTGAGATTTCACCCATTTCTTATGTCAAATCCAGGTAAAATGGCTGACTTATGCTTGGCACTATTATCCAGTCTACTAGTATTTTACTATTACAAGTCAAGTTATAAGAATTATGTTCTTTTCCCACAGAAGTAGTGAAGCAAATAACAATTAAAAATTAAAACAAATAGTGGGGGGAGCACACAAATTGCAAGTTGAAGTAAGACAATTGCCAATTAACTTACTACAGCTGAAATTATATCTTCGAGAGGCTGAATCCTCACTGCTGTCACACTGTTTGTTGCTTCCACAACTTTTTCTCTTCCTTGATTAATGAGGTCCTAGAAGAACACAAGAAATAAATTATACAGGGAATATAAAAGACAGCATAGTTTTAAAGTATAGGGATCCTTCCTCTTGCCAATTTATAGCACTTGGTTTTAAAACTCTTTAAGTAATTGAAAAGAACAGCAAACGTTAGCATCAATAAAGTGGAATAAAACTCATCAATGAGGATCTTGTTAGGAAGATAAAAGTTTGGGTTTTATTGCATCAATAATTCAATAATTTAAATGACTCCATAAGCACATTTTAAAAAGGAAGCCACAAATTCAATTAAGTTATTAAATTATTGGTATAATAAAACATAATTTTTCTTATTTAATTCATGATTGATTCTAGTTTTAAATCACTTATTTCATAATACTGGGCATTATCATATACTTCATGGCATTAGAATGTAAATCAGTGTGTATTTATCTTACTCTCAAACTTTAAGCATGCAATTTGTTTATTCAAAATATTTTATAACTGAACAAAGTGCTATTTCCCTAGCTAGTCAGCTGCCCTATTGTTTCTTAATTAAAATAATTTAAACTACATTAATTCAAGGCCTGATTCTCTTGTGCTCTGAATAAACCACATTTTACTACACTATGCTGGTTCAAAAAGGTCAACAAATAAAAGAAAAATTTCTTGGTCTATTCAGAGGTAATCTTTTGGAGAATGTGATATTCCTGCATAGGGAACCCTCAACAACAGAGCACTCAAAATTGCCTTTAATTCAAGTTAAACTACTTTTGTACTTTACAACTTACCTCCAGCTGTTGATTACTCATTGCTGACAGGGCTCCCAAATTGAAAGGAATATAAGGAGTTTGAGAGTTGAAACTGACAGGGGGTAAATTGGTCCCAGTTGGTATGTTGAAACGCATGGTCAGTCCCTAAAAACAAAAAAATCATGCACTTCCACACTGTGATTTAAAACTTGAAATTCTACATCACCTACTGGTTTAGAAAAGAATCCACATTCTCAGATCTAGGAAATTATTAACACTCTTCCACACACAAACAAAACACCCTTTTCACCCGAAACCAAGATCTTATTACATGGAAAGCTTTAACTCCTAAAGGTGTACTCTTTTTCTGATAATTCCCACAGAATGGGGCAACTGAGAGAATTCTGATGAGACTCCTAACATCACATTAACGTTAAAGAAGTTTGGTACAATGAGTTAGGATTCAGGTATTAGGATAAGATTTCCCATGCTCAGGCACATTTTTGCTCAAGTGTGTTGGTGTTTAAAAGAGATACAGAACTATTTTAAATACTCAAAGTTGCTGCAGGAGATTGACATTAATGCCCAAGAATAGAATATTTTTCTGTTGTGATACATATTCAGTCAAAATTTAGATTCCATAGTATACATGCTACAACATTTACTCCTACCTCCAAACTCTAGGCTTCTGTATGTCTGTTATTACAGTGAGGGTGTTGATGGGAGTTAAGTGATGCTAAATATATACCTTCCCACTAATCTCTCAATTCAGCATGTGCTAAGCAGAAATGGGGTTACTATTCTTTAAGTGGAAAATATTTTCTTCTCTCTTCCCACCCTACCAAGCAAAGGTAGCCAAAGGCTGTAAACAGACTCATATCTGGCGACTCTATTCCTGAAGTCTCACCTGTTCCAAATATGACCCTTTTCTTCCTCACTGTTCTTTCAAATGACTAACAAAAACAAAACCAAAAAAGCATTTCAAATGAATTACCTTCTTCTCTGCTTCATACTCAGCCCAAGCTGCTTTTCTTTCTTCTTCAGTCAACTCTTCTTCTTCTTTGTGGTCCAAAAGAGAATCATGTTCATGATATCCTACAATGTGTTCTTTATGTATTTGAAGAAGTTCTGCAAGTATGGTGTCCTGTTTAGAGTGAAATAACATAGAATTATTTTCTCCCTCTGGGTCATATCTAGTCTACTGTTACACTAGAAACTGGCTGTTATGCATATTTCTGGTATATATAATAAATTACCTAGAAAACAGTTACTATACATGCAACACCAGCATCTTATGTAAGAATTTCATTTATATAGCATGCTTTAGGGATTCAACTTTTTAATGAATACTTTTCAGCTTTCAAGGTTTTTTCCTGCCACTTTTTGTCTAATTTTTTTCATAGGTATTTTGTTTTGTGCTTTGTTCTAAGTTAGTAAGTCTGCTTAAATCAGAAATTACATTGGGTGCTTGTACTAAAAATCATGGCTATTCCTGTTTATACATATTTAACAATTTTATTTTCACTATCACTTTAGCTACCAACCACTATACTAACAAAAACCAAATCTAAATTAAACAGCTACAGGACAATTTAACTGGAACATACAGTCTTTATATTTCAATTGTAGGAAACTCAAATATAGATTACACTGTAAGGACCCATGGGCCAAATTTAAACTGATATACAGTACATTGTTTATCAATTTATTATCATAGTTTTTTTTTCAATTTTATGGTGTCTGAAGTCATTCTTTAAAAGTTAAAAAATTAAAAGCTTAAAAATTGGGATCAGGGCCAGTTAAGAACTGGCTTGGGACGCCACAGGGCCCTGGTTCTGATCCCACATATGAGGGCCAGTGACACTGCCCTCTACAGCTAAGATGCTGAACAACAGCTCAACCTGGAGCTGGGCTGCCGTGAGGCGACGGCGACGGCGACAGTGTAGGCTGCAGCCCCTGTGGCAGTGGGTTGCCATGTGCTACCGTATGTAGCCAGCAGCCAGCGTGAGCGGCCAGCAGCCGCAGTGAGCAGC